AGAGGCTGCCTGTCTGCACTCGATGCCTCTTGTGTGAGAGGCAGAGCTTGGGCTCTAACACCCTGAGTCCCTGGCTCCTTCCATGAAGCTCTCAGGAATCTGGGAAGAGAGAGAAAGAGATGGACACTGGGTGGCAGTTAAGACAGGAGGTAGATGAGGAAAGGGACCAGGTAGATTGGAAAAGAGGTATAGGAGAAGGATATGGTGAGGTAGGAAGGAGTCAGGCTATGGTGGGGAGGGAGGCTGAGGCTGAGGGAAGGGTGGAAGAGAATGAGTGGGCTGAGGGAGGGAGAGCTGGAGCTGTACAGCCAGGAGCCTGAGGGAAGATAAAAGCTAAGGGTGTGGAGGGCTGCTGGAGACCCAGAGGCAGTAGCTGGGGGGGGGGACAATTCAGGAGCCGGAGCTATGGGGATGTGACTTGCACTGCAAGACTATGGGTTCTCAACACTCCCCTCAAACCTGGGGAGCTGGACTTGGGCCACCCTGGCCTTGTGGCCATCTTTGAGGGGGAAGACAGCGTCAGCTGCAGTAGGTGGGAAGAGGGAGCAAGGTTACTCCCACCCCTAGCAGGGGAAATTCTGTGGTGGCTGAGGAAGGGGGGGGGCAGCCCTACCATTGCCTTTCGTGACCCCGTCCTTTGTTGAGAGAAGAGGATGTAGAGTTCTGTGCGCAGGGGGTCCTGCAGCTGGCTCACGGGGTCTGTTTCTAAGCCAGCCTGGTGGACAGCAGGCCTTGTTCCCTTCCATTCCTCCACATCACAGTGCAAGGTGGAAGAGCTAGTGAGGAGGGCTCCCTGTAGCTTTTATACCGCTCAGTGAGATAGGCCTTAGGTCCTGATGACCCCATCCCCTCCTCCCCTCAGATGAAATATATTCAGGACTTCCAGAGGGAGAAACAGGAGTTCGAGCGAAACCTGGCCCGATTCAGGTAAGGCAGAGGTGCCCAGAGGAGGGCCATGGGGCACTGGGTGTGGCAGGATAGCCTGACACTTGCCATCATGAGGCATGGAAGAGGGCCAGTCACATACAGGCCCTAGTGTGCCATGCTTGGGCAGGGACAGGCAGGCAGATACTGTCTCTGAGCCCCAGCTGAGAGCCTAGTGGGTGGGGCAGCCAGCAATGTGCCCCGCTGACCCTTGCTCCCCACCCTGGCTAGGGAGGATCACCCTGACCTAATCCAGAATGCCAAGAAGTCGGACATCCCTGAGAAGCCCAAAACCCCCCAGCAGCTGTGGTACACCCACGAGAAGAAGGTGTATCTCAAAGTACGGCCAGATGTGAGTGTCCGGCCAAGGGGAGGGAGTGGAGGGCGCACGGCGGTGGCAAGGGGGGAGCCGCGCCAGGTCGGCCGGGCATGGTGCAGGGGAGCAGGAGAGGAGGCCCCTCCCCAGGGGGGGGCTGCATGGACAGGGCCTGGGCCAGCTGGCGTGCGAGCGTGTGCGTGCGAGCGTGTGTGAGCCTGTCCCCTGCTCCCAGGCGGGATTCCCGCCTCTCCGCCTTCCCCTCCTGGCCTGTGGGGGACACTGATGTGACCTCCTGTGGCCCGAGGGGGCAGGGGCCTCTGTGCCCCTCTCCCCCCTCCCCTCCCCCTGGCTGCCTGTGTGTGTCTGACGGCTTTTGGTTTGCAGGCCACTACGAAGGAGGTGAAGGACTCCCTGGGGAAGCAGTGGTCTCAGCTCTCGGACAAAAAGAGGCTGAAATGGATTCATAAGGCCCTGGAGCAGCGGAAGGAGTACGAGGTTAGGCTTCCGCTGCGCTCCTCCCCGTCCGGCCCTTCACGGGCCTCTGCCCTCGGACTCCGTGGCCACCACACTTTGCGGGAGACAGTCACTCCCCATTCCGCCACTGAGGGAGGGGCCTTCTGGGCCCCTCACCTCTGCCCCTACCTTCCCCACCCCCCACCCCCATGAGATCTCAGGCTAGGGCAGGGCAGGGCACCGTGTCTCATGTGACACGGTAGACACATGGCCACCCCAGCTTGGCTCCCTGCCTCCCCTCCCCAAGGAGATTATGCGTGACTATATCCAGAAGCACCCCGAGCTGAACATCAGCGAGGAGGGCATCACCAAGTCCACCCTCACCAAGGCTGAACGCCAGCTCAAGGACAAGTTTGATGGGCGACCCACCAAGCCACCTCCGTGAGCGCTGCCCTGGGGTGGGTGGGCCAGTGGGCAGGTAGGGAGTTGGACCGGCACAGGACCTTGGCTCTGGCCCTGTGGGCGAAGGGCCCTGCTGGGAGCTCACAGGGCACCTCCTGGTTCTGATAGGAACAGCTACTCACTGTACTGCGCAGAGCTCATGGCCAACATGAAGGACGTGCCCAGCACAGAGCGCATGGTGCTGTGCAGCCAGCAGTGGAAGCTGCTCTCCCAGAAGGAGAAGGATGCCTATCATAAGAAGTGTGACCAGGTGAGCTGGGGCCATGACCACCAACGACCTTTGGGCCCTGCCTCGGGGGTTGAAGCTGGAGGCCTGGTCCCAGCTAGGGTAATGTAGTCATGGGTCCCATGTGCTTCCAGCTTGGTGGTGTGCTAGGTCTGGCATCTGGCCCGATCACAGCAGACAGCTCAGGCCTCGTGCTTGCCGTCTGTGGATGGAGGCTGGGCCACCATACCCAAGCTCTGGAGGGTCTCTGTTGAGGCTCTCCTCTGAGGGGCTCTGACCGTGGCTCTCCTCACTTCCCCAGAAAAAGAAAGATTACGAGGTGGAACTGCTCCGTTTTCTTGAGGTGAGTGTTCCTCTGGGTGGGGCGGGGGAACTGAGGCTTGGCAGGCGAATGCCTTCAGACCACGTGGAGAGAGGCAGGGTGCAGCCTGGCACTTGGCCGGCAGCCCCAGGCTTCTCTCTCCCCTGACCAGAGCCTGCCGGAGGAGGAGCAGCAGCGAGTCCTGGGGGAGGAGAAGATGTTGAATATCAAGAAACAAGCCACCAGCCCGGCTTCCAAGAAGCCCTCCCAGGAAGGGGGCAAGGTGGGCAGGGCCACCACACTGCTGGGAGTGGGGAAGAGCAGGGTGTCCCGTCAACACCCCATGGATCCCGACCCTCTGTGCCCGGACAGGGTGGTTCCGAGAAGCCTAAGCGGCCCGTGTCAGCCATGTTCATCTTTTCCGAGGAGAAGCGGCGGCAGCTGCAGGAGGAACGGCCCGAGCTCTCTGAGAGCGAGCTGACCCGCCTGCTAGCCCGAATGTGGAACGACTTGTCAGAGAAGAAGAAGGTCAGGCCTGCCTGGGAGAGCCAGTACTTGGAGGGGCTGCCTGGGCCCCTTCCTGCCCTTGGGGCTAACCCACTGCCTCACCCCAGCGGAGGTGGCCCCACGTGGGCCCGGGCTCAGATGGTGGGGTGGGAGCCCAGTGAGTGAGCGGAAGGCGGGAAGCTGCCAGCTGCCGGCTGTGGGCTCCCTGGGGAGTAGGGCCCGTGGGCGGGGCTGAGCCCCAGGCGGCAGTCATCTGCACCCGCCCACGCCTCTGCTGGCCCCACCCTGCCAGCCGGAGAGCCTTCCACTGCTGGATGGGGGCCGAGCGCCCCCTGGGGGACGCTGGGAGGCTGACACTCATGCCTTCCCCGCGGCAGGCCAAGTACAAGGCTCGGGAGGCGGCGCTCAAGGCACAGTCAGAAAGGAAGCCCAGTGGGGAGCGCGAAGAGAGAGGCAAGCTGCCCGAGTCACCTAAGAGAGCCGAGGAGATCTGGCAACAGAGTGTCATCGGCGACTACCTGGCCCGCTTCAAGGTGCCAGGGAGTAGGATAAGGGTGGTTCTTCAGCCCCTGGCCCCAGGTGACCCCTCCCATAGGTGACACCTCTGTCTGTCTCTAGAATGACCGGGTAAAGGCCTTAAAAGCCATGGAGATGACCTGGAACAACATGGAGAAAAAGGAGAAGCTGATGTGGATTAAGAAGGCAGCCGAAGACCAAAAGCGCTATGAGGTGGGAAGAGGCTGGGACCACCCCTCCACTCACAGCTCAGGAGCTCTCTTGCAGGTGGTCAGCTCACCTTACTGCATAGGGCTGTGAGCCAGAAGTCACAGGCTTGGTTGTACAGTCCTTAGCAATTCTTAAACTTCCTTCTCTGAACTTCAGTCTCAGTAAAATGGGGTAACGGTACTAGTCTCCAGGGTGGTGATTGTTGGGGAGGACATGAGTACAATTACAAAAGCACCTTTTTTTTTTTTTTTAAAGAATTTTAAGTTTTGGGATCAGCAGTTAGCGTAATGGCTATGTCGCTGGACTCCCACGTAGTCGACCGTGGTTCGTGTCCTGGACCCGGTGGCTTAAAACTCACGCCAGGCGCGTGTGCGTGCGTGCCCAAGATCCCGAGAGGAGAATGGAGGAGAAGGGATTGTGGCGTGACCATCCCCCCTGGGGGGTGATTTCTCGCTTTCTGTCTCTATGTCTCTCTCTGTCTG